ATTTTCCCACACCATTTTCCCACACCATATATACCTATATATGTGTTTCCAACTAGGCCTATTCTAGAAGCCACAGTCCATACAGAAAAGGTAAGGCCACGCCAAACATAAAACAAACGAACAAAAAGAATTTAATTTAACTTGGTCCCCATCTGCATAAACCAATCATTCTCTTCCTCATTCACATTTTTTTCTCACTGTCATATACAGAAACAGTACAAACACTCCCACATATCCTCCCACCTCTCCTTCAAGCAGAAACAGAAAAAAAGAAGAAGATTTGAAAAAGAACAGGATGCAACTGCTGTAATTATTATTTAATGGAGGTGAAATCTCATCATCCTCTTGGGTAAAAACAGTATAATTCATAATTTAGAACTTTCTGGGTGATAGGGGAAAATGGAGCTTTTTTTCTGTGTCGTTTTCAGAGACAGTTTCCCATTCTCAAAAGCTGAAACGCTCTGAAAGTTTGTACGCAAACAGAAGAGGTTCAGCCAAAATGGAATTATTTGCAACCAAAGCAAAGGAAAACAAACATGAACAAATTTCATGTTAAAACCTTAGCAATTTTATCTTTGTCATGCATTAGGGGATTGTTTCTTGAGGTGCTTTCGCCTAGATAATCTTGGACTTGAGACTCAGGAATGGCCAGAAATGGTCTTCTTCCCCCGAAACTCAAGTTAACCTGCATTGGTGCGGGTTCTGCTAACTCCCTAGGGAAAGGTGTCCTTCTCTTTCCTATCATGTTTCTATTAGCAACCAACATTGCTTGCATTGTATTTTAGCTGCACTTTCTTTTATCTTTCTGGCAAAGGCTCAAGGACAAATCAGCTTCTGTTTTAAAAGGCACACCTGTTTCTTTATTTATAACTTTTCAGCCAGTCGTTCATTATGACAATGTAGAAGAAGACCTATCTGCTTAGTTACCACTTTCACTGTGATCCCCCAGACCCTTCAGCCACGTTCATTCCATAAATCGTACAGGTCCATTGTTTGGCCTGATGTTTCAAGAACTGCAAAGATACTAGAATAACACGTTAGATATGAATATAGAAGATTTTTTCAGAAGGAAGTGGTTTTATAGGCAGTGGAAAATGAACAGAAGCAAGCTTTGTTTAAACATTAGCAGAAATGAATTCTGTGCTGAAGTCTGACTTGCTGTTCCTCAAAGGTTCCCTCCCCCACCTCCAAGAAAGAAAGTATTCTCATAGTTCAGCAATACCTTTTGGTTTTTCCCGCCCCCCACCCCCCGCTCCCCTTGGGGTGTTTTCAAGTTGATTTGATTATTGGAGGTGGCAGAGATGAAGATAGTGAAGGGTGTTACTGTTGATAATGTTTCCTGTTCACTTCTTTCCATCTGTTTAAAGCCTCCAGGGCTACGTGGACCATGAGCCTGCAAAAGCCGCATGGGATGAATTCTTATGACAATCTTTGGGCTTGGTTTGAAATGTGGGAAGTCAGGGGTATGCAGGAATGAGGGTACAATGAAAGACAGGACATTCACACATAACCTCTGAACATGAAGTTAACATGAATGCAAGAACACAACAGTCCATTCATGAGGATTTCACCAAAATT